TCCTCCCCAGCCCCCCTAATACTCACCTAAGCCCCCTCTTGGTCCAGAATGTGTATTGGAGTCTCAGCTATCCAAAGACTCCCTCTTATTGGCTGAGACAGAAGCAGGAGCCATTGGCTCCCACTGCTGTCAATCACACCCAGTGACCCAATGAGAAGAGAGAGGGGGCAGGGCCGAGCCAAGGCTCTGTGTGTGAATGGACGCACAGAGCACATGCAGCAACGGGTGCTCCCCATAGCAAGCTGCTTGCTGTGGGTGCACCCGACAGGAGGGAGGGGCCAGGAGTACCAGCGGGGGACCCGAGAAGAGGAAGATCCGGGCTGCTCTGTGCAAAACCAATGCGCACAGCAGATAAGTATAGACATGTTTGTTATTTTTTCATTTAAAAAAATAAGCCTTTAGAATCACTTTAAGAGGGGATTTCCCTCACACTAAAAAGATCTCCTCTAACTTCCTACTGATAAAAATTACACCTATTTTAAACCTCCCCTACTAAATCCAAAATGTAAAAAAAATCACTTTGACTTTAGATACTACATTTATGAGCCACAGAATGGCAACAGAAAAATAATCTATATTCCAACATACCTTTATTATATCCATTATACTGCAACACATAAGAACAAAGTTAAAAACACAGCACTTCATTCACATTATGCAGCTACAATTTGTGTTGTACACAATACCTCTTCTCAAGCTGAAGATGCAATTTGCTGATTGATATAAAGATGTTTCTTTGCAGTCCCTTTAGGGTAATAGAGTTACACATATTTTCTTATATGACCTTGGGCCTATTGTTTTACCAGGAGGGTCATGGCTGGAGCATACCAATTCACTAATGGATGTCATAGTTAATTGTTAAAGAAGTACAGCCAAAGCTCTTATAGCTGTACTTCTCTTGTGGATCACAGGATTGCAGTTTGTTCTGTACTCCTGTGACCCGTTTTCAGCTGACAGAGGGCTGAAGCCCTCTGTCGGCTGACATCACTCAGCCGGTCCAGGCTGGGGAAAGATCCCGACTTTAGAGTTGGGATCCACCCAAGAGTCTGGAGCGTCACCTGGCTCAGCCTCTCAGTGATCTAACAATCACCACTCTCTGCTCACAGCAGTGGTGAGAACTCAGCGATCAGCAGCCATGTGATCGCTGAGTTCTCATCCTTAGAGCCTGTGGGGGACAGATACAGCTAGTTACACTTTCAAGATGTCCATCATGGAGTGTGTTAACCATTGGGTGAAATTATATCTCACATTCATCTACCTTGCTTATACTGACCTATCTTGCATTCAACTTTTCCTGACACTAGGGGCGTATTTACCACAAGGCAAACAAGGCATTTGCCTAGGGTGGCATCTTTCAGGGGGGCAGCAGCATTTTTCAGGGGGGCAGCGGTCCCCTCCCTAAAGAAGGGATGAAAGAAGAGACACACACAGCATGGGGACCAGGTGGGATCTGAGAGAGGTTACGGACTACTTGATGGTGTATGTAGAGCCTGGCTCTTGTTCCTGGGGATGTTCGGAGCTGTGAAGGTGTCTTCTCTCTCACTGGGGTGGGGGGGGGGGTTGCCAGTGTATGGGGGGCGGTGGTAGTGGAAGGCTTTCTCGGGTTGAGGTGGGGGCTGGGGTGTTGTTGGTCAATGTCAGGGTCTCTTCGCGTGGGGGGGGGGGCAATTTTTGTGTTGCCTAGGGCAGCACAAAACCTAAATACACAACTGGTCTGCACACTACTTTGGTTTTGATCTTTGGCTCTAGTGACCTCTGGCAATGACCCCTGACTATAATCCCAGCTCTGCTTTTGTCTCCCTGCCAACATTAGTGGTTATTAAGCCTGAGTTAGTGTGTGGACCTTTAAGAAAAAAAAAGCACAAACATCCTATTCAAAAGAATAAAGAAGGTTTTGTTTTAACAATTTATTTAGTATGAAAGGTGTCAAAAACAGAACTATTCAAAGGCAAATGAAGGTAACAATTTGTTGTATCAAGTGTGACATAAGGAATTTAATTGATTTAGGTGAACAAGTGCTTTATAAGTAGTTAAATTAATGACTTGTGTGTTTCAACATGATTAATTATGAGTCATCTCTGGGAGAGTAATTTTTTCTATGGGTAAGCAATTAACTTTAATTCATCTGTTTTTAGAAATGTTTTAAAAGCATAGTAACTTCTAAAATGTTCTTGACTTAAAAGTAAAACTATAAGTGCTGCAGCACTTAATTCTAAGGGCATCTGCACTTACAATTTTCTCTTAGTCCCACTTTAAAATGCAAGAAATAAAGGTTGAGCTTGCCAATGAAGTCCACCTAATGCAGCTTCCTGTGATGGTATGACAACCATGCTGTACTGCTCCTGAGTTCAGAGCAGAGTTGCCACTCTCTTGTAGGCGGAGTCTGCTTCTACTACAGTGAAATGAAAAAAAAATGTTTCAAGGGGCATAGCTATCAACATCGTGTTTAGCACCTGGGTACACCTAGTCCTGCCCACTGTTTTTTGGATTGACAGCATAGCCTTTGTTGCTGGAACCCTCCCCCTGGGAGCTACTGTGTCTGGGAAAGGGAATGTGTGAGACACAAAAGATGGAGGATTTGGCTCAGTAAGGGTAAGGAAAGTTTTTAGCTTACATTATGAGGCTTGTGCATCACATAGTAACTGGATTTGGTACTTTTTTGGATCGCCATACAGTTGCCTTTGGTTTTGTCTTGTCCACCTAAGTGTAAAAACTGACATTATGGGCCTGATTTACTTACTTTACACCAATGCATCAACATGCACATGTGAGCAAATCATATGTTCACAAAATTTACTAATCACCCTCAAATTAGGCAGATGTGCAGGCGCATGCAAGAGCCTTTGTTACAGCGTATATACACAGCTTCTAATAATGAGTGATTTGCTGTGTAATGTATGGTCCTAAGTGAACCTACACTTTCCTGAACCAAAAATAATCTGTTTTTGAGTCTATGTAAGCATTTTGAGTCTAACTACTTTTAATTTTTTTTTAGATATGCCCACAATGTAAAGATTGATATGCATATTGGCAATCAGAAAAGTCCTTTTACAGGGTCCTAACAGGGTCTTCACAGGATGATTAAGTCTTAAAGCTGCCTCGCCATGTGGTCACAGAACAAGGACAGCAACAAAGTCATTCAGCCAGCTCACAAGGTAGATTCCTTTCATCAATTTTCAAGTCTGGTAGAGATCCCATTGCCACAGATTGTGTTGTGACAGCTGGCTCAGGAAAGTAAAATATGGTCTTATAAGTTTTTTTTGCGAACAAATGGTTGGAAAATGTTGAGGATTATTTTTACTGGTGTATGACTTTAAAGGGGACTAGTACTGAGATGTCGATATGTTTGTTAGTAGGGAGGTCCAAATTGGTGGGTCGCAGTTTTTTCCCTCTTTTGGCTCATCTTGGACTCTTTTGAGGATATAGAAGTGGATGCTTGTTTGCTGGGTTTTCCATATATCAAGACACACCTTGTAAGAACGGCCTCTGCGGGTTAACCCCACAAAACCCATATTTAGTAGATATTGATTTTGTATGTATTGTATTGATGATTCTGTTACTATTTTTTGTAATTCTGTAAAGTTAAAATTGTTTATTGTTGTATTTTAGTTTTCTAGTGGCAATTACATGCAACTACCTGTAAATATCCCGAAGAAGCCAGAACTTTGGTGAAATATGTTGAGTTGGAATTGTTGCGTTGTGAACTTCAAGCCATATGAAGTATCATGTTAGTTTTATATATTTTTCAAAACTACTAATTTGATGTGGTTTTTTTTCTATGTTAACTTGTTGCCGACTGCAGATAGCCAAATGACAGCTGCACTGCGGCCGGCCAGTTGTGGGCGCTCTCCCGTGTGCCCCCGGGGGCGCGCACCCGACGATCTCCGTGATCACTGTGTTCTACGGACACAGCTGATCACATGATGTGGCAAAAGGCCAGTCACAGCGGCCTTTTACCACGCGATCAGCTGTATCCAATGACAAGCTGATCACAGGGAAATGCAATTGCCGGTTCTCGGCTGCGCTTCCTTCACGCTGTCAGAGCAGGGATCAGCACCGATCATCAGAGCACTTTCTTCTCATATAATGCTGGATATTTACAATATGGGATGTGGTGCTAGCTGCTCTCCAGCTCACCTGAAATAAATGTGGAATATGATTGTTTATTAAAGTGCTTCATTTTGGTGAACTTGAAAAAACTGTTGAAGCACTATTTAAACACAGACACTTTTTATATAAATACAAAAAAACATTTTTTGCAAATTATAAGCACAGTCACTTTTAATGTTGAGGAAGGTTTATGATTATGATCAGTTAATAGCATGGAGTCACATTGTTATTTGTAAGTTGTGAAGCAGCAAAAAAAAAAAATTTTTAAAGTAGGTATTTTTTAAGTTTAAATAAATGGTTTATATAGGAAGCTCCACACTTCACACATTTTATACATAGTATTGGGACACCCCTCCAAATCATTAGATTCAGGCATTCCCATCACCTCCATGGTCACAAGTGTATAAAATCAAGCACCTAGGCATGCAGACTGCTTCTACAAACATTTGTGAAAGAATGGGTCGCTCTCAAGAGTTCAGTGAATTCAAGCGTGGTACCGTGATAGGTTGCCACCTGTGCAATAAGTCCATCTGTGAAATCTCCTTGCTACTAAATATTCCACGTTCAACTGTTAGTGGTATTATAATAATGTGGAAGCAACTGGGAACAGCAGCAACTCCTCCACGAAGTGGTAGGCCACGTAAAATGACAGAGCGGGGTCAGCGCATGTCGCTAACTGTCTGCAGGGCAATAGCTAAAGACCTCCAAACTTCAGATTAGCACAACAACAGTGCGTAGAGAGCTTCATGGAATGGGATTCCATGGCCGAGCAGCTGCATCCAAGCCTTACATCACCAAGTGCAATGCAAAGCGTCGGATGCAGTAGTGTAAAGCACGTTGCCACTGTACTCTAGAGCAGTGGAGACATGTTCTTTGGAGTGACGAATCACACTTCTTTGTCTGGCAATCTGATGGAAGTGTCTGGGATTGGCGGTTGCCAGAAGAACAGTACTTTGCCTGACTGCATTGTGCACAAGCAGGGGCGGACTGACCATTTGGGAACTCGGGCACTGCCCGAGGGCCAGGGGACAGTAGGGGGCCCCATGAGATGCCCCTGGTACCTTTCATAGGCTTTTTTGGGTGTGGTTTGAGTGTGGGTAAGGACACAGGGGCCCCATGATCCCTTGCCCGGGGTCCCATGAGTTGTCGTCCGCCCCTGGTGCCAAGTGTAAAGTTTGGTGGAGGGGGATTATGATGTGGGGTTGTTTTTCAGGGGTTGGTCTTGGCCCACTAGTTCCAGTAAAGAGAACTCTTAAGGTGTCAGCATACCAAGACAATTTGGACAATTTCATGCTCCCAACTTTGTGGTTTGGGGATGACCCCTTCCTGTTCCAGCATGACTTCGTACCAATGCACAAAGAAAGGTCCATAAAGACATGGATGAGCAAGTTTTGGGTGGAGGAACTTGACTGGCCTACACAGAGTCCTAACCTCAACCCGATAGAACACCTTTGGGATGAATTAGAGCAGAGACTGTGAGCCAGGCCTTCTCGTCTTACTTCAGTGCCTGACCTCACAAATGCGCTTCTGGAAGAATGGTCAAACATTCCCATATAGACACCCTCCTAAACCTTGTGGACAGCCGTCCCAGAAGAGTTGAAGCTGTTATAGATGCAATGGGTGGGCCAACTAAATATTGAATTTACATAGTTTTTAATTCTGGGGTTTTAGTGATTGCACAAGGGTGTTTTAGCAGCTTCCAACAGATCAATATATTTGTCAGCGATCGCGGCAGCGCACGGGTCTGCGCTCTAACCGGCGGGCGCTAGGACCTAGGCAGCTGCGGCAATTGTGGGGGCCACGCATGCGCACACTCGCGATCACGGACGCGCGCCTGGCACCAATGACAGTGCAGGGCGCACTATTTAAACCATGTATAAAAGATAGTTATTAGGAGGTTGTAAAATGATTTATCATGTCACCCAATATTTGGTCTCCATTCAGTAGCCAAAAGAGGCATTCAAAAAAAGGGGGATTTGTGAAAAGAAATTCACAGAGAAAGCGGCTACATTAAGAACAGAACGTGACACTCAGAAAAAAATTTCCAAAAATTATGCTTTATTACACATATATAAATATGACATATGGGCGTACGCCCTGGTTTACCATCACCTCAGTATGAGACAATACACACAGACCTAAAACCATATAAAATGACATCAAGACCGGTCTAAATGCATGTGCAACAGAAAAAATGACTGCAAGAGTCTAATGTCCCTGTAGCACAAACACATAGGTGAACACTTCCCAAAAGAGGTGTATCCAAAAATTATACCATAGGCATACCATAATGTTAATTATTATATGTAGAACAATACCATTATGGTGAATCCCAATCAGGGAATCCAAAAATTGTACTATGGAAAAATATCACATATATACAATGCAGCAAGCACAATAGGCGTCAAGAAGAGAACAACAAGCCTCAGGCCTGTATGGAGGGAGACATAAATGTCAAATATATGATGCAATTCATTCCTGTGCCGGCACAAGTGGTTGGGGGCCGTTCATTCTGTAATATAAACAGCTGTATCCTAGAGCTCTTGAATGAAATAATGCCCCATTTATTCCCAGGGTGGAAAAAAAGATGCAAAAAGCAACACTCTGCTAGAAATGGTATCTTCACCACTATATGTGGACTACATACCACCTTTCGTAGGGAAAACAGGACATATCCCAAAAGATCTTCTGCCCGTTGAGATATATATGGTATATCCTGTATCCTATACAAAGCACCATGATATCCCCATCCTGTAGTGAGATATAAATGATATGTGGGAAGTCACTGACAGAGTATACACTCAATAAGATATATAGGTCATATAGATCACAGAGGACCATATATCTAATGTCCTGTAACAGTCCACTCACCACCTGTGCTGTGGGTATTAGGAATGAAAAAGATGTCCTTCATAGGTACTGCCATACACGGCCACAGAGGCCTAGGAACCACCGCTGACATCCGCCGATATACCCGCGGGTTCCAGCCCCTTCTTGGCGCTTGTGCTGCTCACACTTGCCTCATGGCATATGAAGATGGCTTCCTCCCTATGGGTCAGCGTGCGTTCCACCTAATGCGCATGACCGGAAGTGACGTATCTGACGTATGACAGATATTACAGATGAACGGGCCCCAACCACTTGTGCCGGCACAGGAATGAATTGCATCATATATTTGACATTTATGTCTCCCTCCATACAGGCCTGAGGCTTGTTGTTCTCTTCTTGACGCCTATTGTGCTTGCTGCATTGTATATATGTGATATTTTTCCATAGTACAATTTTTGGATTCCCTGATTGGGATTCACCATAATGGTATTGTTCTACATATAATAATTAACATTATGGTATGCCTATGGTATAATTTTTGGATACACCTCTTTTGGGAAGTGTTCACCTATGTGTTTGTGCTACAGGGACATTAGACTCTTGCAGTCATTTTTTCTGTTGCACATGCATTTAGACCGGTCTTGATGTCATTTTATATGGTTTTAGGTCTGTGTGTATTGTCTCATACTGAGGTGATGGTAAACCAGGGCGTACGCCCATATGTCATATTTATATATGTGTAATAAAGCATAATTTTTTGGAAATTTTTTTTCTGAGTGTCACGTTCTGTTCTTAATGTAGCCGCTTTCTCTGTGAATTTCTTTTCACAAATCCCCCTTTTTTTGAACGCACTATTTAAACCAGCCTGCACAGACTCAAGTTGCCATATGGTCTTATTATCTGTTCCTGCTTGTTGTTTCCTGCTGATTGACCTTGTTGCCGACCCTGCTTGATCCTGACCTTTGCTGACCATCTCCTGCTTTGACCCTTGGCTCATTTGACTACTCTCCTGCATACCCCTGATTATCTGACCTCCTGTTGCTGAACCTGGCGTGTGACCCGACTACTCTCTGTCCGCTGCTCTGTACCGTGCTGTCTCCGCTGTTACCGACCCGGCCCGTCTGACTACGCTACACTACCCTGCCATCCATCCGTCCATCCATCCTGCACGGATCCGGTCACTGCCGCTCAGGTATATCCGCCTCTTCACATCAGGCTCTCTTCCACTACATACCTCTGGCGGTTCCCTCTACCACAGGCGGGTGCACTCAGGGGCCGCAACCTGGTCACTGTCTGCTCCAAGTCCATCCCCACCATCAGGAGCCCTGGTGAACAAGCAGACTGGGACTTAGACCCCGCGCCCCGGGGAATTCTGTCCTGTGGATCTCTAGAGATACCACCAGGCGGTGCGTGACAGAACCATACGGCCATGACTGAGCCTGGAAGAGGACCGTCCCCGCTGGACGATATATGTCAACATCTGGCGGCGCTTACCCAAGCCATCAAAATGCTACAGGAGGGTTACACGCACCTGGAAAATCGCATCCAGACGGTAGCCTCACCAGCATCTACATCCCAGAATCCGGTTACTCCATCTTCGGACGGAGACCCCTCAGAACCTCCTGCCAGAGCGGTGGTCTCGATACCCCCACCTGAACCCCACGTACCATTGCCAGAACGTTTCAATGGCGATCAAGGAAAATTCAGGGCATTCCGCAATGCGTGTCAACTATATTTCGATCTGCAGCCGCGGACATTCTCTACAGAATCTGTGAAAGTGGGGTTCATTATCTCCCTACTGCAAGATGATTCCCAGGGTTGGGCCCACTGACTAATGGAGACCCGCGATCCGCATCTGGAGTCGGTAACAGAATTTTTTAATGCGATGGCAGTATTATATGACGATCCGCAGCGGGCAGCATCAGCCGAAACGGCCCTGTATACACTCAAACATGGTTGCCGAGCAGCGGAGGAATACGCTTCTGAGTTCAGACGCTGGATGGGGGACACCCAATGGAATGATGCAGCTCTGTGTCACCAATTCCGCATGGGCTTATCCGAGTCACTCAAGGATGAGCTAGCCAGAGTGGGCCTACCCGATACCCTAGAAAACCTCATATCTCTGGCCATCCAGATCGACCGCAGTTTGCGCGGGGAACGTAGTCTAGAGAGGTCCAACCAGGGTCAGAGACCAACATGGGTACTACCTCGTGTTGCAGTCCAGTCTTCTCCAGTTGGAAATCAGAACTCGGAAACTGACGACATACCTGAACCGATGCAATTAGGATTGACACGACCATCATTAACATTTGAGGAATGCCAGAGACATCGGGTTAACAATTTCTGTCTCTACTGTGGGGAAGCAGGTCATGTGGTACGTTCCTGCCCTGCAAAATTGAGTAAGTGTGCCTCTGTTTTTTCTGCTGTGCCCCCCACCTGTCCTAATAATTCAAACTACTTAGCCGTGCCTGTTTCTTTCCAGCTTCCCGGAAGGACCGTGTCAGCGACGGCAATCTTTGATTCAGGAGCTTGTAGTTACTTCGTAGACAGACTTTGCAACTCGACAGCAGATCCCCCTACAGACAAAGGAATGTGGGTTGAATATCTTCCTAGCCGATGGGTCGCGCATTAAATCGGGGGTGGTAGACCGGGAGACCCCACCTATCTGTACTACGGTGGCTGGCCACCATCGGGAATTCCTTCGCCTGGCTGCCATTGCATCCCCTCTATTTCCAATTATTCTGGGGCTTCCCTGGTTGCGTGCACATGATCCCCAGATTAATTGAAAGACCGGGTCCATTCAGTTTCAATCTCCCTACTGCCAGGAGCATTGCTACTCCCAGGCTTCGTCAGTTCCACAGTCCCTCCTATGTATGGACATGGACACAGAACTAATCCAAGTCATTCCCCCAGCCTACCACAGCTACCTTGATGTGTCTAGTAAACGAGGGGCAGACATTCTCCCCCCACATCGACTGTCTATGTGACCTTCTACCAGGATCTGAGATTCCTTTCGGGCGAATATTCCCTTTATCTGAGCGGGAACTGGGGGTACTAAAAGAATATATTGATAAAAACCTCCAAAAAGGTTTTATTCGCCCCTCCACGGCACGTCGGGAGTTAAACAAGATCACGGTGAAAAATCGCTACCCACTTCCTTTGGTTCCCGAGCTATTCCAAAGGCTGAAGTCGGCAGTGGTTTTTACCAAATTAGATTTGAGGGGTGCTTATAATTTAGTCCGAATAAGGGAGGGGGATGAGTGGAAGACCGCATTTCGCACCAGGTTTGGGAACTTTGAGTACCTGGTCATGCCTTTCGGAATATGCAATGCAGCAGCCACATTTCAGCACTTTATAAACGATGTGTTAAGAGATTATCTAGACGTCTTTGTTGCCATCTACTTAGATGATATCCTGATCTTCTCCTCCTCCCTGGAAACA